ACTAGGGGCTCCTGGCATCGCTACTAGGAGCAAAGAAGCTACTAGTAACAATAAGAATTTAATATATGTTCTTTACATGTAAAAAATGCGAGTTTAGATGGGTTCCCTCAACGCAACACGCTGTCCAGTTAAGCGACATGTGTTCATGTCACTTCAACCTTGCAGACGAGATTCTCCAGGTGGTGCACGGAGAAGCATCACTGAAAACACCAAATGTCTCCCCTAGATGGATCCTGAGCGGCTTCAGTGCCACAACCCATTGTAGTTCAAATATGTTTACGGAAATGCTATCAGTGGGTGTGGTGGAACATCTTGGAACTAAAGCGTTTTGTTTGCAACAACAAGCCTCGACGCTCAACTGGGATCTCTCTTCACTGCAACTGTGAGTCAAAGATCATCAGAGTTTTTGGGATCCGAACACAATCAATTATTCACAGTGACAGGATCAGGCTCAAACCAAGGTAGATTAAAACTTGGTATGGTAGTAACAAGTGCATCGCTACTAGGGCATTGCTACTATTAGCAAGAAGCTACTAGGAGCAAGGGCATTGCTACTAGGAGCAAGAAGCTAGTAGGGGCGCTCCTGGCCTTACTACTAGTAACAAGAAGCTATTAGGAACAAGGGCAGTCCCAGTGCAGTGCCTCTCAACGGAGGAATGGCCAGCTCCCCTGCTCGCGCTGGGCGACCGCGATGCGCGGTGCGCGGTGCCAGGACTTCTTGTTGGAGGGATATCCTCCAAAGACCCTGCCCGAAGCAGCTCCTGGGGCTGAAGTCAAACGATGCGTGAACAAGGTGTGTCCGGAATGGTCCCTCACCACGGTTTGAACCCGGTGTGTTTGGTTGTCTTTATTCCTCCAGTGAGACGTTTGGTGTGAGAGGGGTTAGTCTCAAGATGAGGACGCCCAAGCGGCATACAAAGCAAATGTCTTTCTCTTTTGTCCAAGGTAGCGGTGGCCTCCTCCAACCTAATATTCGTAACATTGATGGCCTCCAACCTAAGAGCGACGGCCTCCACTCCAAGAGCGATGGCCTCCCTAGTAGCAATGGCCTTCAACCTAAGAGCGATGGCCTCCACCCTATGAACTTGTTCCCTGCAGCAATGTGATTCGCCGGTTTTGCACGCCATGGAGTCCGTGATGAAGTGTGAGAAAGGGACCTCACGAGGAAGGAGAATCGAAAGACGGACGTGCGAATCATCCCATCTTCGCACAGATCAAACAATGGCACAGATTGAGATGCTTGAACGAGGTGATTGAAATGGGGAGACTGCGCTTGCAAGAAAAAGCTGTGGAAGTACAGTCATAGATTAAGAAGCTACGAACGGAGCAAGAAGCTATTAGTAACAAGAAGCTACTAGGGGCTCCTGGCATCGCTACTAGGAGCAAGAAGCTATTAGTAACAATTCACAATTCACCGGTGGAGTTTGGCCCGGAACCCGAGTCCGGGCATTCGTGGAAAGCCCTGCACCGGAACCGCAGCTAGGGATTGGAGCTATGCCCCCCCCAAGCAAACAGTCCAGTGTTCAAATGCCTTTGTAAATAGATAAAAGAGCACAAGCACATTGTCCATTTATGAACTCAATAGCAACAATCGAAAAGAACACACCTACGCCATACTCGGTAGTACCCTTTTGCTGTGGTGTTGAGCATATGTGCTATGGGCTTCAAGGGGGTGATCATCCGCTGGCATATTACGTCGGCTACAATATATATCCATCAAACTTGGCCACAACAAGCTTAAGAAGCGCTAAATTGGTCCTGAACATGCTAATGATACCTTTATCTTTGTCCATCAACAGCTCGCCAATCCGAAAGTTGATAAAGGAACTAAAGGTCCCCCAAAAGGTAACGCCTAGAATCATCTTGATACATCCAATAAAGTTTCATTACGAAGGTCATTGTATAATCATGTCTTGATAACCTTATAAGGACTTTATACTGAGCGTTTATGACGAAAGTCAAAATATCTCCGAGACTTAGACTGCCCGAGGTGGCCTGGTCAAGAAAGGCTGAGGTGCGGGGAATCTCGCTTGGGTAATCACGTTCAAGTGAAATGATGTCAAGATTAACTTGTGAAAAAAGGGTGTTGTTCAACGGTTTAACTTTGTTCTTGTATTTCCTTATGTGGTTCCTTTGTTTCCTGTTGTTCCTTTGGGCCTTTTGACCTTTCTATATTCCTTGTTTTCTTGCCTCCTCCTTAGAATGCAGATGGTCAGTGAATAGGCATGGATGTAGCTTCCCGCCACTCCGGCCTGTCAAAGGTTAGTTGGCGACCTGCAAAAGATCACTGCGAAGAAGCGGGATTGGTGTTTGGTTAGCTACTAGTAGCGTCCTTGCTCCTAGTAGTAAGGCCAGGAGCTACTAGTAGCTTTTTGTTCGAGCATACATGGTTCTCCGGTTAAGGTGTGAGTTGTTGAGTTGTCACGCATTCCATTGGTATCTGGTGTAGGATGGACAGACGCATTGCCTGGGTGATGACCGGAAGTAGGTCCTGCAGATTGGCCCCTAATAGCGATGGCCTCCACCATGGCCTCCAACCTTGGTGTCATTTCAGTGGGAAAAAAAGCATGCAAACACTCACTAGTCTGGTGTCTATCCCATGACTCATCCCTGCAAGAGTCGGAAATTGTGGGGTGATTGGAATCCAAAGCGGATTTGTTCCAGAGATCTCTTCCCAGAAATTCATAGTCACGAAAGGTAGCTTGAGCTACTGGAGTTCTCCTTGCTTTATCAAACATGTATTACAATCAGGATTTGGTGATTTGCATTGAGTTTGGTCCTGTAAGAAGGGATTCAAGGAGTCCAGGCCAAGAATCACTCGTTCAGTAATTCGGGTCGTTTTTTTGGAATCACCTAAGGTTTCAGATTGGCGCCCAGTGCCGGGAGTAACCCTTGCAGTTGGGGACACGAGAAGCGCACGGTCAACTTCAAGTGTACGACTTGTTGAAATCTATTGGCAGACACGAACTATCTGTATTCCCTAACTATCAACCAACCCGTAATATCTCCGAGTTTAAAGGACAAGTGGAGTGTTGCTTGCCAAGATCTAAAGGAATGCCCCTTTCGCTTTGCAGAAGCTGATCGGTGCAGCTTCACATCCGCACAAGTACAAGCAGGATGTGGAGTTGGTGTTCCGGTTCGCAAGTTCCGACCGCATGTGGTCAATCACTCCCTGGGTGCCTTGGTCTGTTTTCCTTTGGCACCTGCACCTGTGTGGGTGTGGGGTGTTTTTCGGGTGTCCAGGAAACGTGGTCGAAACCTGAACAAACATGGACGAAAGACTAAGCGCTTTTGATAGACAAGCACAGACGGCTTGCTCTTTTGACCAGTGACTTCCTTGTGCAATTTCGGAAGCTTCTGGAGGTCCAGGAATGGTACCAAGAGGCGGAAGCCGAAGCGATGAAGGTGAGGGAAAGATGTGGGACGAGTGAAGGAAGGAGCCCCGTTCGTAGCGTCCTTACTCCTAAAACCCAGCCTTACCATGAGTTTAGGTTCCAGGTTTTGGCCCACAACTAACGGACTTTTGCGGAGTTTCATGGTTTTTTGGCTTCACGTTTTGGGAGTGTTCTGTGTTGGGAGACCAGGTTACCTGTATTGTTCGGTTCGCAGTTGAGGGGTTGGGGCCTGTGTCCTGTTTGGTAGCTCAAAAACAACAACCTGCACATTCCACTAAAACCATCCCACATTCCAGACGTGTGGCCCTTCTCGTGAGGGCGTAGTTCAGTCCTCAAGCCTATTCATGTCTTCCTCAGAACCTGCAAGTAGGTTTATAAGTACAAGGCCCTAGATCTAGAATAGAGTTGCTAAATTGTGGAATGCTGTGGGCACACAAGCTTGGACATCATGATTGTGTTTCTATGTTGCTCATGTTCCAGCAGATAAAGCCATTGCTAAAGCTTGCTATTCCAGTTGTTGAGCCTGGAAAGCACTTCATGTGCCACAAGCCGATCTACCGGAAGACTTTTCTGGAAGTGCTTTGTCAATGCACCTGGCCGCTACAATCATCATCCGAACCTGGTTCCTTGTCTCAGAAGAAGGTGAGCCCAAGGTGATTGTCGCATCGCATGCCGTTGGTGTCATTTTGTGCAAATCTAGTAGCGTCCTTGCTCCTAGTAGTAAGGCCAGGAGCCCCTAGTAGCGTCCTTGCTCCCCCCTAGTAGCGTCCTTGCTCCTAGTAGCATCTTGTGCAAATCTGGATGTAAGAAATATGTGCCGAGACCCCAGAAGGAATTCCAGGTGGAGGATGAGGATGTCTCGTGAAGAAGTGTTCGCTTCTGCGGAAAGGAGATCATGCAAAGCCAAGAGACCGTTGAGATCAACGTACGTCAATTTCTGCAATTAGTAACAAGAAGCTACTAGTAGCTCCTGGCATTACTACTAGGAGCAAGAAGCTACTAGTAGCAAGGTG